AATTTATCGAAAACAAACGTATGTTCGCCAATTTATCTTCTGAAATTTGAAAAGTCGTCAAATATGAGCCAAAAGGGGCTGCTTTCAAAACGGCGGTGGCGTCGTGAACTGATGACCTCCATTGTAGTTCGACTAAGCAAAGAGGGATAAAAATCGGTTAACAATGGGCGAAGTAGGCCAACCGACGTATAAATAAGAAAATTTACATGCAAATGGAGGGAGCAGAAAAATTGCGGCTCAATTTGAAAAGCCCGCTTACATCAATGTTAGGGTTGGATTTAAGTTTAGAGTCAGGTTTTTGGTTAGCAGTGCGTTCAGTGAAAGGATTATGTGTAGGCAATAAGATTTGGGCTTATGTTAACTCTAAGTTTAGAGTATAGTGTGGGGTTAGGATTAGGCATAAGGTTAAACTTTAGTCTTAGTTTAGTGTTAGGGAACGGGAATATTCCCCCTATTCCGAAATTTATTGCGAGGTAATCCCTTTTAAGTGCGTTCTATTTAAGCATGCATACCAGTTATCATTACCGTTAGTTTTTTGTTGCTAGTCTGTAGTTAGTACTCTTAACGTAAATTCAAATCAAGAAAACTATATGAAAGAAAATCATTTATTCAATTTATCCAATTCTGAAAAATTCGCGGCCTCGGTAGGATTCGAACCCACACAGCAGGGAAGGCTTTAATACAGCCAGGGCTCTACCAATGAACTACGAGGCTCACCATGCGCCATGAATTTAATCACACCTGGGTCAATTTACCCATTCAACCCTTTACACGTCTGAAATCCACCATTACGGGTAAAGTAAGCTGACTGCTCAGGCAAGACTTCCTAAGCCATCACCTAACATCCACCAGAATGACTACTAGGCTCACTTTATTATTAGGACAGTCTGACAGATATGGATAATTTAATCGTCCAATTGTGAGAAATGCATGGCCTCGCTTAATTGAATTATTCAAATCTTTCTAGCCCTCCTAATACTTAATTGAGCCTAGTAGCCATTCTGGTGGATCCTAGATGATAACTTAGGAAATCCTACCTGGGCAGTCATCTTACTTTATGCTTAATGGTGGATGCCATACGTGCGGTAGGCTGGGCGAATTACTCGACCCATGTGTGATTAAATTCACGGCTCTCGACGTGCCTTGGTACCTCAATGGTAGAACGTCGGCTGAACAAAAGCCTACCCTACTGTGTGAGTTCGAATCTTACCAAGGCTACACATTTGTCACAATTGGGTCAATTTACTTATTCAAATCTGCCAACCCCCCCCCCTCATAAAATGATTTATGGTTGTGTGGTTTCCGTATTTACGCTTAAAAAATCTTCAAATTGCTACAAAATTCACTAATCGGGCTACGTGTATTCCTTCCAGACAAATGCTTTCGGGTTAAATACGTTAATCTACCAGTAAAATATTCACTGAATTTGATTTCGTTTTTGGGGCCCTCGATCGATAAAAGTATATTCATCTTTATTGCTTCTACTGCGCACGCCCCCTAGGATATAGCCCAGTTTTAAATAGCAAAACATGTCCCTTTCCAGCAGTAAATCCATTCAAATTAATGTGCATTCTCTGTTTAGTTATCAGACCTAATTAGCTTATTAAAAAGTGCTTTACAATGCAGGAAACTGTTTGGCTTACCATATTAATTATAGTTTTCTTTCTCGCAGCATCTGGATATTCAGAGTCTCGTGACAGAGTACGTTGGTGGTTTTTCCGTGGAGAGGACGCTTAAACTGTTTCCGCGCAAGCGTCTGCCCGAGGTGATAGCGAGAACGTACTTCCGTCAACTGATCTCGGCGGTAATTACGCTGTACGATCACGATATTCTTATCCGGTGAGTGAGTTAGTAGCCTGAAACACTTTTACTGATTCACCTGGACTCCAATAAGATAGAAGTTTCCACTGCGCCAGCCTCAGTTCATTGTCAAAACAGCATTCGAAGAATAAGATCCCGACTAAAGTTTTGAAACCTACTACCTGCAGACTGATGTCAAAAGGTCGATCAATTTATTGATATTCCTGTTTAAATATCTTTTAAATAAAACCAAACTCAAATACAACGGCAGTTGGGGTATAAAAGATTTCTCAAAATTTACATCGTATGATAAATTTTGTGAGAGCAAGCTGCCAAGCAGTATTGTGCAAAAATTGCTTTTACGTTAAAAAGAATATCAAATGTATATATAAATATACTTTCCAGATATTGACTTAACGAATTGAAGCCAACCATATTTTTTGCATTTTAAACACTTATCCAAACTAGCAAACTCTTCAGAACCACGATGCGCGGCCTTTAAAAGTCGCTTTTTTTCCAGAGATGCGACTCTATTTTTAAAAAACTTAGGCAAACAAAATATACAAAGGAAGGGTTCAGGTGACTATTCCATGTGCGTTTGGCTATGTGTATAAATAACAAATTTTCTTTTTAGTGAAATTAAGATCGAAAGTCTCCAACTCACGCCTGATATGCGGCATATTAAAATTGTAGGTAAGTCACTCAAGAGTTGGTTTCTGCTTTGTAAGTCCCAACATACAGTAGCATGTATACTCATACTTATATGAGGATTACCATACGTGCAAATAATGGATTTTCATCCGTCTCAAACAAATTTTCTATCTTTCCACATACTTGCTACAGTGCCTGTTTATGTTATATTTGCACATGTTGGCCAATCACCGATCTCGAAATTCAAGAAAGCGCTAGGATATTAATAAACTTCTGACCCCCAACTACTATAATAGTCAACTTTTTGGGCGTTTTTTTCCTATAGATTTTTCCTCGGCTGTTCTCCTTCCACCTCCATCGGACCTTTCCAATAAGGAACTAACGCCAGAGTACTCAGCTCCAGAACTCCTTGAGGGATGCGAGAATTTTCGGGCTGAAATTTGTGTTTGGAATCTGTGAGAAATTATCTTTCTTAGATTTATAAAATCATATTGTGTGTCTACCTGTCCTTTACCGTTTTGGCCAGCGTTATTTCCTACGCCTGCATGAAAAAATGCTACCTATTGTGAAAAAGTAATATTTAAAGTTCGATAAATTGTTCACATTTTCCCCTACATAAAGGAGAATTTTGAATGTAGAGAAGAGGCAGGAAGAGGATTTTATCGGATGCTGCAAAAATGTTGTAGCATCACGCTACCTTATAATATGAATTTTGCAAACAAATACCTTTTTAAACCATGCATTTGATTAAGGCTACAGAAATTTTTAATTACGCGGCCAAATCTGTCGGAAATATTTTCAGGCATATCCGCATAACGACAGAGTTATTATTTTCGTGAAGACCAGTCCATTTTAAAATGATTGCTTACGTAAAATAGCTAAGAATCTTTCAAACAAAATGGTAGTAGGATTTTTAAAGTACTAGTACAAGCTAGCTTTCTTTGGTCTTAGAGCATCTAGTCCAATTGTATATAATAAGAATTTAAAAGAATTTTACGAAAAGAAAATATTCGTTCACATGTAGGGTATAACCAATGAGACGTTCAGTTTCTACATAGTTCTAAATGTCCAACATATATTACGTTGTTCAGTCTTGTTTCTGATTTTTCGTTTCCTTTGAAATATTATATAACTCTCATTCGCGGAAACTTGGAAGAAAGTATGGTCCTGTCGACTTATATAGTGCTTTTATCAGACGAATAGTAGTGGGATACAATGTGCATGCAAATCTGTTGAAGGGCTTTTCTAGCCTGTATAAAAGATCATAACATTACACGCCATGTAATTTCATTTCGGTCCGACAAAACGTTATAAGGAGCGGCCTTCGTCAAACAACTTTACTTCTCTTCTCCCGTTTTCTCGTTTTTTTCTGTTTTCTGCCTATTTATTACATGTTATCTTTAACCTTTTACTTTTTCTCCAATTTTAAAATTTGCCTAATAGTTGCAGTCGGAAGAGGTCCTGTTACCGAGTTACTTACTAAAAATGTAGAAAAGATAACGGCTGGTATAATTTATAAGCATAAATGCATTACCTACAAAGACTGATTGAAAGTGGAAAAGGAACGAGCACGTGGCACAGTGGTTGCAGCATCTGACTTCTAACTAACAAGGTCGCGGCTTCGAACCTCGGAGGTCGCCACCCATGGGA